TCTCAGCATCTTCTCCATTTTGGGCACGATTCCCTGGTGTTCACTTCGAATTCCACTCAGAATCTCGACATTTTCCACTGTAAACGACGGGCTTTTGAATGAGAAAGTGTCGTTTTCCGTGTAGATCTGCCGCGTTCTGAATCGATTCAAACAGAAACGAATCGATTTTTCTGTGGAATAGTCGAGCGGGTGGCACGCTTCGTTTCGAGCATGTTCTAGGGCGGCCGCCTCGAAGCTGAAAACATGAGAAATCGAAAAAAAAACTAATTTTCGTTGAGCTTGAAACCTTTTGGCTGAAAATCGTCGAAATTTGATTTTTTTTTTCGAATATCCCAAAATTGCAGATCTCCAAAGCAACGATCCAACGGAAAACGCTGAAACGAGCTCTCAAAAATCAATATCTGAAGAGAATGCCGCTGAAGAAGAGTCAAAAACGAACCCAGGATGAGCTGATGTCTTCTGAAGAGGCGTCGTTTCAAGAATCTCAGGAATCCACAGCACCAACGACGTCTTCAGAATCCCTGCTCGACAGTATGCTCCTTGAAATGAAGATGAGCGATCAGAAGTTTGCCTCCTCGAAATCCGACGAAATTCCAGAGAATTCCGAAGATTTGGCATATCAATATGCGATTTTTCGAATTGGCGACGCTCGAATCTTGATAAGATCTAATGGAGCGCACTTGCTCAATGAGCAGGGCGATAAAAAACGACAAATTCTGGAGAATTGTCGAAAAGTGACATTTGAGCCGCGAATTGAGTACCTATCGAACGGCGGAGCCATGGAGATTGGAGCAGCCGAATGGGTTTGGAACTATACGAAAGCCGTATTCAAAACGAGTCAGTCCCATGTGATCTACCGTACCAATTATCGATTGGATCACGTGCTACAAATCGATCCGTTATCCATGAGAATTGATAAACAGCAACCGCCTCCCGATGCGTTGGGAATGTAAGTTTCTAGAGCAAAAACCATCGAAATAGGCTGAAAATAAGCCTAAAGTTGGTCTAAATAGGTCTGGATCGGCCTAAAATCGAGCCTAAATTAGCCTGAACATTGTCTAGAATTGTCCAAATTTAGTCCAAAAATGAGCTTAGAAATCGTCTAGATTGGCCTGATTTTGATTCAAATAGGCTTAAAAATGGGGCCTTGATCGGCTTAAGAGAGCCTAAATTCAGCTTGAATTATCCAAATTATAAGATCTATTCAGACACGCGCCATTTTCAGCTTGAAACTAGCCCAAATCGGACTGAATCAGCCTAATTTTGGCCTGAATCTGCCTGAAATGGTTCTTTATAGGCCTAAACTTTGGTCTAAATTGGTCTAGATCGGCCTAAAATAACGCCTTGTTGGTCCAGATTGGCTTAATTGGGCCCAAATTAGACCAAAAATTGGCCTAGAACATATTAAAAATTGTCTAGATGGGCCTATAAAGTTGGTGCAGATCGGCCTAAACTGAAACTAATTAAGCCTAAAGCTGAGCTAAAATCAACGAAAACTTAGGTCTCTTAGTGCTCTTCATTGGCCTAAACGAGCCTGGCTAGGGCTCAAAAAGACAGGAAAAGGGGGCCTAAATTAGCCTGAATTCGGATAAATGAGACCTGATTTTGGATTTACAAGCAAGCCCATTTTCAATCTGAAATTGGTCTAAAACAGCCTGAAAACTTGTCTAGATCGGCCTAAAAAAGCCCTAGCTGAAAAATGACGTGAAATGAGCCTAAATCTGCCTAAATTTAGTCTGAATAAGCTAAAAAAATGACCTCAAAATGGGTCCGCGGGCCGGCCTAAATTGATCTAAAACTGAGCCCCTAAATTTAGCCTGAATCGGCCTAAATTAGCCTGAAATTAATTGTCTGAATTAGTCTGAATTAATTGGTTATTCAGTGTAAAAATCCTATATTGGGGCCTGAAAATTCCCCGATTTTCGACTAGTTTAAATCGATTTTTGACCATTTTTAGACACAGTTTTTCATCGATTTAAAGCCAATTTCAGCCTTACCTACTTCCCTCGATTTTCAGCCTCTCGGCTCGCTGTGTGATGCTCGAGCGAATGATTGCTCAGCTGGAACAACTGGAACCGGGCGAGTACTGTGCCGTCCAGGAACGTGATCGTCCATTGATTGTCGTCCCCAAATGCTCCGCCGATCAAAGGGGCGGAGTCTCGTTGGGAGCATCACTGACAAGAGATGATTGTAAGAGAACGACGGATTCATGGAAAGACGACGACTTCTTTCATGGCTTCTGTCGTGATGTCGCTCTTCAATGGCAAATTGTACAGGGACGCGCTCCGCAGCTGTTGTTGGCCAAGGATTCAGCGATTAATGCGCAGGTAAGGGTTGAAAATGGTCCCCCCAATTGAGCCAAAATATCCTGAAAATGAACTGAAAAGGAGCTTGAGGGGCCTAAAAGGTGCCTGAAATAGCTTGCTAGAGGGGGCCTAAAATTGTCTGCAATAGCTTGAAAATTGAGTCACTTCGCTTGAAGAACGGCCTAAATTAGCCGAAAATGAGCAATTACAGGCCCTGAACAGCCTTTAAAATGCCTCGATTAGCTCTGTGAAGGACCTAAAACAGCCTGAAATAAGCATTTACAGGCCCTAAAACACCTTAAAACGACCAAAAATCGCTAGCTAGAGGGCCTAAAATAGATTTTCAAAGGGCCTGAAAATGCCTCAATTAGCTTGACTTTCAAAATAGCCAATTCCAGGCCAAAAATCGCCTGAAAACGGCCCAAAATACACTACGCAGGCCGTCAGGAGCCAAAAAGTGCCTATACTCGCTTGCTAGGGGGCTTAAAACAACCTGAATTAGTGTTAGGCCTTTTTTAAACAGCCTCAGATAGGATAGCTTGTTGGAGGACCTTAAACAGCCTAATGCAGGCCTGAAAAAGGCTTAGTTAAGACCTAGGGGCAAAATCTGGGATTTAGACTTTGAAGACTTTGAAGGATTCTAGACCTTTTTTAGCCGTTTTGAATCATGAAACATGCCTAAAGTGAATTTCAGGCCTTTTTAGGCCCTTTTTAAGCCTAAAAATTCCTCGAAATGTTTGCAGATGCCATCGAAAATGAATCGCAATCAATTCCAACGAAAAAAGACGTCGATGAAGCGGAAATTCGCCCAGAAAGAGGCTGAAAAAGAGGACGCGAAACGACAGAAAGCGTTGGATTTGGATGATCCGAATCTGTACGCGGACTTTACGAATCCATCGATTCTACCGCAGGACTTCGTGAAGCCAAAACTCAAAAATTTTAATTCATTTCGAGGTGGTGGACGAGGTGGAGGACCCAGAGGAAGGCCAAGGGCACGGGGACGAGGAGCTTTCAGAGGAGGAGGAGGAGGAGCTGGCGGTGGTGGTGTTGGTTCGGGACCAAGTACATCTGATTCCGTTCCAGCCATTCCATAATTTTTTTGGAATTTTTCCCTACTTGCCTTCGCGGGCCCTGCCATAACTTCTTTCAGAATCGATATTTTCGAACCAGCTCAATCAGATATGATAGAGCTCCACGAGTACTCCAAAACGGTATTA